GGTCCCCTGGCAAAAATGTTTTATATTGTACGGACCTGGCCTTCACCCAAGATTCTCCTCTAGAAACACATGATGTGAGCGAATGGGTGCAAAGAGCAATATACATGCTGGGGAACGCAAATGCAGCCATGTGCACGGAACGACGCAAAGCAGCCTTATTAAGGATGGATTCCAGACTATTGGAGTTAGGGAAGAAAGAGCTAGGCCCTCAGTCGAACAGATTATTGTTTGGAGAGCCATTTATTGCAGAACTCAAGAAACACGTGGGACTGTATACCACCCTGAACAAGGCACAGATTTCCATCAGACAGGTCTTCCGCAACCCTACACCAAGCCGGGGGGGTTTTCGGCAGGGCTGGTCGGCAGAGTTGTCGGGCCATCAGCCGTTTCTGGGGACATCAACCCACACCTCAACCCTTCTGCCCATTGGCAAGAGCCACCTTTGCAAGGTTGGATTTGAAGGGCACATAAGTCGCTCCTTCCTTCGCTTCACATGGTAGGATCGACCTTGCCAGTTCATGTGTCTAACGTTCAGCCTCAGCTCGACCCCATGGTGTCTCACGAAGCTTCTGAAGCTGGTCACAACACATTTGAAAGTCGTGAGGGGGTGCAGTGAAGCCCAGGAGGGCGCCGCGGATATGGTCAGCACATTGGTTGACTGAGGGACCCCCAGAGGAAGCCCAGCAAGAGAAAGCAGCCCCAAAAGGACCCTAGAGGCCCAGATCTAAACCATAAATCAAAGGGGCGCACACAAGGAGACAGCCCCAACAGCCACAAATGAAACAGTAATAAAACAAGCAATAACAACGCATGAATTAAAAAAGAACCCAGAGCAGACACACTCTCTGAGTTGTACATTGCTCACCTGGAGGCAGCATCAAAGAAAGAGGAAGTGGGTGGCTCTGAATGTAGGGGTTTTTGTTATTTTGTTCTGCTTGGTTGTTTGGAAATGTTCTGTAAACTGTCTCTTTGCTGCTGGAGGTTTTCAGTAAAGAAGGTAAAGCAAATATGAAGCCTCCTGTCTTGCCTTAAAATTCAAGATCATTTCCTGTAATTGGACCTTGATTTGTTGGTTATCAAGTATTGAGTCATTTTGTTTCCAGTTCCATGTGCGATGGGCAATGTCAGGTAGGTTCATAATTACATGAATTGGGGCATGGTCGCTCCACGTGATTGGGCCCATATACAATTTGCGTACCAGATGGAGGAATCTCTGTTGCATGTAGATAGTCTAGTCGGTGCAAGACCTACTGGGCAGAGAGTAAAAGGTGTAAGCCTAGGTGAAGGGATTATCAAACCTCCAGCAGTCTATTAGTTGGTTTGAGTGGAAGGATTGGATACAAATATTTCTGTGCAGGGTGTTGCAGTTGGGGTGATGTTGGGAGGTGTCAAGAGGGATGTTAAAGTCTCCCCCACAGACAAGAATTCCCTTAGCGAACTGTGTTAGTTTGGTAAGAGTGCGTTTTAGGACTGTACCCTGTTGGTTACCTGCGGTCCCGCAAAGAGGGCGCCACACCCTTCCTGAAGTGGGTTTCCTGGAGTAACACGATATCCGCTCCCATTCTCCTCATGTCTGCCAGTAGAAGGCGCCCTCGCTCTGGGACATTCAAACCATTCGCGTTCAAGGACACTACATGGGATGACATAGCAAATAAAAAGTAGCTACTGAACGACGTGGATGAATCATTGTCGGAAAAGTTTGAGGCATCATTGGAGAGCCCTTCAACTGTATCTGAAAATGCACAGATCACGAGTTTGATACACAAACAATGAGAATAATACATAATGTTAACAGTTAACTATCTTAAATAGGATGGGATGCTGAGCTAGTAAACAATAAGATGCTAACTCGCCTTTCCTTTCATTGCACTGTACAAATAAGATGTGTTTTTGTGCAAAGAGTGAATGGTTTTGTGAAGTGAGTTTTATAAATGGTTAGCAGAGCTAAAGCTAATGCCAAGTGGAAAAAATACTTACTAACAGGCTCCATAATGGATTTGAGAAGTGCAGATGCCGAGTCCAGACCTCCCTCCCTGCCTTTGTTTGCCAGCCTGTGACCGTAAATGGCGCCCATGGCGTTGTACCACCTCCAAGTACTTCGACTGTTTCCACTACGGCTGTTGGCGTCCTTTATTTTTTTTATATTGGCCTTTTAGCTTCTTAAGCTTTACCCTACACTGAACCGACGTCCATTCAAATCCTTCGGCTGCCATCCGCTGAGAAATATCTTTATACACCTTTTCATTTCTAACTGATCCATCAAGCTCACTCTGAACAATGCGATCACCAATTGTAGTTAGGAAAGTGGATAGTTCCACAGCCGACCAGACCTTGCTGTTGTTTGCAGGCATCCTTCTCCTATTATCTGAACTGAATGGTTACGTGGTGTTTGTTTTGCCTTTAAAGTGAGCACTAAAGTTTTTTTTGTCCGCCAATCAATTAAATGTATCGTGACGCCATTATCTCCACCGTAACCGTACAGTACCATTTTCTATGGATCTACAGTTTAAGGGGGCCGAGGAATGGTGCGGCTTGGCTCGGTTGTATTGGCCACTTTTATAATGTAAACACTCAAAATAGCGTACCAAACCGTACCGACCCGAACTGTTAAGCTCAGTGGAAACGAGGCATTACTGCCCTTTGCGGTATCCGGTATCAATAAAGTCGGTAATAGGTACCACAATTTAGGGCTGGGTATAACAGTATGAATACAACTTATCAGTCTCTATTAAGAGGAGATCCATAAAGTGAAGGATACTGGTTGGTTTCGTGCGTTTGCTCAGCATTTGTTACTGGTATGGTCAGCAGTCGCTGTAGGTAGATATTAGTTAGAAATGGAAATATAATTAAATCCATTCTGATTGTCCCTGCCGTTCAGCTTGTGTCATGCGAGCAGGGCCGGCCTTAGGGGTGTGCGAGCTGTGCGACCGCACAGGGCGCCATGGAACAGGGGGCGCCCTGTGGCCGACACAGCTCACTCATGGCCGGAGTGCAGGGGAGCTAAAAGAGGAACCTGGCTGGAGGATTAATTGTTCTCCACCCGGGTCTATTTAAAAAAAAAAAAAAAAAATCGCGGCAGAGGGGGCGGGGTTTACCGAGCGGCGGAGGCGGGGCTTATCGAGAGGCGGAGACAGGGCTAATACCTCCCGAAGCCCCTGCTGTACAGGAAGAGGGAAAGATGCTTCCCCATCAGCCAACTGCATCCACTGGAAAGAGGTAAGTGTGTGTGTGTGACTGTTTGCCTGTTTGTGTGACTGTCTGTCTGTGTGTGTGTGTGACTGTCTGTCTGTGTGACTGCCTGCCTGTGTGCGTGTGACTGTCAGTGTGTGTGTGTGTGTGTGACTGTCTGTGTGACTGCCTGTCCTTGTGTGTGTGTGTGTGTGACTGTCTGTCTATGTGTGTGTGTGTGTGTGTGTGTGACTGACTGTGTGTGTGACTGTCTGTCTGTGTGTGTGACTGCCTGTATGTGACTGCCTGCCTGTGTGTGTCTGTCTGTAACTATCTGTCTGTGTGTGACTGCCTGCCTGTGTGTGTGACTTTCTATCTGTGTGACTGCCTGCCTGTGTGTGTATAACTGTCTATGTGTGTGTTACTGTGTGTCTGTCTGTGTGTGTGACTGCCTATGTGACTGTCTGTCTGTGTGTGTCGCTGTAGCTGTGCCATTGTTTGTGCCTGTGCCTGTATGTGTGACTGCCTTTAACTGAGTGTGTGTGTACATGCCTGTAACCGAGTTTAAATTTCCCCCACCCCTTCCTGTCAAGGCCGCACTTTGACTGACAGACGCTCACTCACTGACAGACGCACACTCACTGACAGACACACACTCTCATATACACTGACAAACAATGACATACACACATACACTATTACTTGGACACACACTGACAGATGCACACTCTCACTGACAGACGCAAGCACTCACTGAAAGATGCACGACTCCACTGACCGACACATACACACTGACTGACACACACTCACTGACCGACACACACTCACTGACCGACACACACACACTCACTGACTTACACACTCACTGACTTACACACTCACTGACCACACATACACACTCACTGACGACACATACACACTCACTGACTGACACATACACACTCACTGACTGACACATATACACTCACTGACCAACACACACATTCACTCACAGACACACACACATTCACTTACAGACACACACAATTACACACTTACAGACACACACACACACACATTCACTTCAAAATAAACACTCACAGACACACACACAGACATTTCCACTAACACTCACAAACTAATATTTTTTACATTTATTTTAAATCCACCCAGCCTCCCTGGGAAAGCTGGAGTGGATTTCTTACCAGCAGTCCAGTGTGGCTGCTGGGCAGGCAGGCAGGGGGCGCACAGGCTGAGTAAGCAGCGCTTAGTGATGCCGGGAGCCGGACTGACGTCATATTCTGGCTCCCGGCTTCATTAAGCGGCGCAGAGGAAGCTGAGCAGGAAGAGCTCAGGTGAGTATGCTCCTTCGCTGCCCGCTGCCAGCCTTGGGGGGGCTCAAAAGTGGCCAGCCGGTCAGCTCTTGAGCCCCCCAGGATGCGAGGCAAGCAAGGGATCTGCCTGGGGGTTTGGAGGGATGCTTTTTTTTGCCGCCCCCTGCAAAGTGGCGCCCAAGGCAGATGCCTTGTTTGCCTCGTGATACACACGTCCCCGGTGCCTGTGTGTGTTACTGTATTCAGGCAACTTGGTGGGAGGTGGGGGGGGCGCCGTGAAGACTTTTTGCACAGGGCGCCTAATTGCCTAAGGCCGGCCCTGCATGCGAGATGTATTTTTGATTGGAGTTCTTTGCTTCCTGGGTCTGGTCAGTTCTCTTTGGCGTTGTGGGGCAACAGGAGTTTCTCCCATCTCGCCGTACCAAGGTTTGGACGAAAGTTGGGACATCTTCTGCAGTGGTGACGGTGGCAGTTACTCCACTGTGGTTTGCGGTAAGGGCGAATGGAAAGCCCCATCGGTTATCTGATCTGCCTGTCTTTCAGCTGACTGGTAATGGGTTGTAGGGCCCTGCAGGCCTTGTATGGTAATCCATGATTAAATCTTGGATATTTGTAGGTTGCGCCCTTGGGAGCGTAGTGCAGGTTTCTTGCTTTCTTGATAATAGAGTCCTTTAGAGAGAAGTCATGTAGGCAGCATATAATGTTGTGGGGTGAGTCTTCCGATCTCTCCGGTGGCCTGAGAGATCTGTGCGCTCTGTCAAATTTGATGGTTGCCGCTGCAGGACATTTCAGGTTTGAGTTAAACAAATCTGTCTGCAGTTGGTGTATGTTTTCTGAGCCTGTGTAGGATTAAGGGAGTCCCCGCACTCTGATGTTGTTCCTCCTGCCTCTATTATCTAGGTCTTCAACATATCTGTGCAGCATGGTAGGTTTGGATGTGTACTTACCGATGTGTTGCTGTATTTGGGAGCTGTAGGCCTCAGAGGAGGATTCTAGTTGTTGCACTCTTGCATCTAAGGAGCTTAGGCCGAATCCAAATTCAGACATCTTCGCCTGGATCGATTTTATCTAGCTCTGTGAGCATTTTGACAATTTCTTCCTGGAGGGCAGCTTGTGTAGAATTTTCCTCAGGTCGGTATTCGAAAGTGCCGATGCCTCTGATGCAGAATAGCTTGTTTGCAATGCAAATGGAGACGGGCTTTCAATGCGATAGTTTGATCTGGAGGCCTCCAGATATCAGTCAGTTTTTTCAGGGAGAAATTTACTCAGCGGCTGTGTGACGGTAGTAAACTGTATCACCGTCAAGCATTCCCTTCTTCCCATAAAAGAAAATAACCAAGTAATCCACATGAGATTTGCACTGTCGTTATTCGGCATGTGCTATAAACTTTAACTTTAATAATACACGGACACGTTTAATACTGTTGGAGTATAACGTCCACAGCTTTATTAATATGAATAAATTAACATAATTAGGGTCATTGTCATAAATGACATTATTTATTATCCCCCCGCACAATCCCCTGACAATGACCCTACCACATGAACAATAATTAACATAATTAACATCAATTACCAATAAACTTGTAAACATCCGGCCTACCAACGAGGCCCCATATCATAATGATAACTGTAGGGGTGTACCCAGACACCCCTACACCCCCAGGTTCGTCGCCACCGAAGAGCTAGAACCTACCAACCATGACACCGTCTGGCCTACTTCAGCCTAGGCCCTGGCCTGTACAGTTCCAATTCCTTGATAACTTCCAACTTAACCACGCCCTGTTCCGCCACAGCACTTGTCTTGACCCCTTAAGACCATGTGCGACCCCCACCACACTGAAACAGGGCTCGGGCTATGCCCTCCTGGAACCCCAAGTTCAGCAAGTCACACCCCACCTCTGACAGGTGTACTCCATCCCTCCTATAATAACCTGGCAACATGCCCTCCAGTTCCCGATGCCTCACCACTATTCCCCCCATCCTCTTAACAAATACTGCCATAGCTCTATTAACCTTCCCCCTGCATCGTGCCACCGCAGCAGGGTCCCTGGCGTGACGCCATGTAAAACGAGGCACCATCTCGGACCACACCACCACCACGTCAGGGACCAGCTCCCGTAGCCGATCCATGTCCCTCTTCATTCGCCGCAACAGTTCCCGTTGCGGAATCAGCCCTAAGTCATTCCCCCCACCGTGCACCACTACAACATCCGGAACCGGACCCTTGGACACTTTTGTAAATAAAACATTACTCAAGCTCTGCCAACTAAAACCTCGAAAACCAAACCAGGATAAGACCGCCCGTTCCAGAGGAAAGCCCAGTTGTGTTCCTTGTCTCCGAACTGCGGCCCTCTTCTGTGCCCAATATACGAACGAGTGTCCCAGCAACCAAACATTCCAACCTGAAAAGAGACAAAATTAATTACACCGCAGAGCCAGTGTCCCCCAGTCCCGGCCATTTAACCCCTCAAAGCTCCACCATCCCGTCGGGCCTCACATACGAGCGAAACCGCACGGATTCCCACCGTCCGATCCTCTTGATCCGCTCGTCACCCAAACCCAAGCGTGCCGCCTCTGTAGCCGCACCGATACGGAACGAATGCGACCCGAATTGCGTGGGCTGCAGGCCCAGCTTCACTAAGCCCAAACGAAAAATCCTAATGAATTGAAACCGTGACAGCGCCGTGCCGTCAGCGTGCAGGAAAAAACAACCGCTAACGTTAGGACGGATCCCCAGGTACCCTGATCCGCAGGCCACCGGGCACAACCCTGACCCCGGCAACTCGAATAGCACCACGGAGCAGCCTTTGCCGAAAACATCAGTTTTCAATCGGCCCAACCTAATCTGCACGCGATCACTCTTAACTTCCACATCCTCGCGCTGCAAGCCACCAACTCCCACTTTGTTTGCGCTAACCAGCTCCCCGATCCGAAACGCCCCGAAAAACGCCCAGACAAACGCACCAGAAAAAAGGACCACCTCAAATGGCGAGGAACATAACTCCGGTAACTTTCCCACCAAACCTTGTAAGACTGCAAAAGACACCGGTCTCCTAACGTCCGTCGACGTCTTCCCCCTCCGAAAACCCTGAACCGCCTGTCGAACCAAGAAATGCTTTGTCAAATCTTCCCACCCATGGAATTTAAACCAGAAAGCCAAGGCGGACATATGCCTGTCCACCATGGCCGGCGAAGCCCCCTTTGCAAACAACCGGCACAACAACCATAGGAAGACATCCAGCCTATGGCCCTCCGAAAGGTCCCCACCTACCTCCTCAACCGTTTCTTCCCATTCCTTCCAAACCTTAGCATAAGATGACCACGTGCTCGGTGCCAAAGATTTCTTTATGTATTCCCCAAGCACGATGTCCCGAGTCGCCACATCTCGTCTGGGCAAGCCTGCCCGCATTCCCGTGCCTCTGGAGCCGCTTCCCGAAAACGATCCCACTGAAAACGAGGTTTGGAGATATGGACTCACCGTTGGAGACCCCGGCCGTGCCAGGCCCCGGGGTTGCCGACCTTCCATCCACCCGTTCAGGCTCCGGAGCATCCGGTTGACGCCGACTCCCATCCGCCTGATCCCTCCTCAGGACTGTAGGGGTAGCGCTCCGCGACCTGTAAGGAGAAGACAACCTGGGTAGTCTGTACTGCTGGGCCCCTACCCGTCCTTCCTCCCTACGCTCTTCTCTGCAATTCCAAGCTTCGCACCGCCTTGCCGGCCTAGCTTCCCTGCTCCTGGGGGCCCGCTGCTGTCCTAGCGCACTGTCACCCGAGGACCCAGATGCGCTGCGCCGCCTCCGCCCCCTGCCCGTCCTTGGACGCGGACCTCCTTCTCCCCGCCCTGCAGCTGGTCCTGGAACCACTGCGCCTGCTATGCGATGGACTCCTGTCCCTGCTCCACTGCCGCTCAGCTGACCTCCTGCTGCTGCCGGGCCTGGCGCCACCGCTGCGCCGCTCCCGTCTGTACTCCTCCCGCTCCCTGGTCCCGCTGCGGTGCCCCCCGTGAGAGCAGCCTGAGGGGCCCAACCTTCCACTGCTACTGCTCCTGACTTCCCTATCCCGCGCTGTACTGCGTGTGTCCCCTTTCTCCGCTGTACCTGGCCATCTGTTGGCCGCTGCGCCTGGCTCAGATGCCCCTTGCACCCCCTGGCAGCCAGCTGGAACCTCAGCCGCTCCCTGTCCGATCCTGCCGTCTTCCTGCCGCCCCTCCTCCCTATGCCTGGCACTGTCGCCCGTCCCGGCCACACCTAAGGCCGCCCGCGAGCTGGTCCCGCTGACCAGGCCACCCCTGGGTTGCTGGGGGGCCGCCTGCGCTGGAACATCCCGCGTCCCGCCCGCCCCCTGCCCCTCAGTGACCAGAGTGGACTCACCGGGACGCCTCACTGAAGTGCTGCCGACCACGTGTTCCTCCGCTCTCCCGGCCGCCATTCCCGCCGTGCTGGAGCCCTCCTCTGGGGTTCCTGTGCTGCCTGCCGCCATCTTGGATGGGGCGCGTTTACCAGCAGGCCCGCGCTTTGCGGCCGTCCTCGCCTGACCGGCACCGCGGCGCACCGGCGGCGCCGGCCGCTTCCCGGTGCTGTCCGACCCTCTTGCCTCCTGGCTGGGTGCCGACGGGCTCCTCCGCCGCCGTGGAGCGGGCGCCATGCCCGGACTCAAGCGCTGGGGCGGCCGTGCTCTTCGCGCCGTCCTGCGCTCCGCTGGAGCTGGAGGGGGAACTGCAGCCCCCAGTTGTTCATGCAGCCAGGCCAGCCCTCGGTCCTTCACTGCTGCTCTCACTCCTGCCAGGATCTCATCCAGGGAAGCCATGAACCTGCAGCAAAAGAAAAAAGAAAAACCCCACAGACCTGACACAACTGACAGGTAAGTGAAGTTCTGATTAAAATGGCCACTCTCTAAGATGGCCGTTATTTCAACCCCCTTTGATCCCGCCCCCAAGCTCCATTAGCTTAAACCAACCCCTAACTGAATGCACCTGCCCACTCCTGGCTCTGTCAAGGCCCACTCCCCTTACTTCGTTGTTCCATGGGCTTCAGGAATATATATTGCTGGTATCGCCAAATAATCCACACATGAGCCAAAGCTTAATGCTGGAACAAGACTGATTTACTGGAAGCAACAGGCATTCAATTTATACAATAGCAGACTCCTCCTCTGGGCCAGGCTGAATAATTGAGTTTTTAGCAACATACTAAACTCAATTATCTGCTGGCCAGAAATATTAAAATTTTTAGAAAAGTACTTTCTGCATAACATATAAATATAACAATCACATCCCTGGGTAGCAGAGGACACTGGGAGTCACAGATCCAAATTTCACAAAAATCAGTTTGAGTTTCCGTGTCGCATCGTGTGGAAGTTTGACCGGCTCGCCATGTGGTGGTTTCCGATTTAGAGTTCCATGAAATCAACAGCAAGAGCTGGTCTCCATTTGCGCCTAATTACACGAAAACTACCGTACGTATGTTGCAGCTTGTTACATGCGAATGCTCCCCTTGTTCGGTAGATAAAAAAACTCCCGAATGCCGGTTTGATACATTGAATGGAAAGTAGTCAGTAGGGACTTCCATACTGACCAGCCGTTCACGTGATTGCCATGCCGAAAACAGTTCCAGGCAATTCACACATAAGTCCCGCTGACCGCATTCGGGAGATTTAAGATGGCCGCCATCCTTTGTTCTCGCCACGTGTTCGTATGCCGAATGGCGGCCACCTAGGAGCACTCAATTAAGTTGTGGTTTTCGTGTGATTACTCGATGTTCCAAGTTCTGATTGCTACCCAGGGTGGTCTCCATTCAGTAGAACGAATACATTTTCCTGAACACATAGTTAAATGAAACCGTCCAAAAGCAGTTAAACAGCAGGGAGAGAATATAACCGAATGCACACAGGTGAGTATAGGAGAATCCTTTATAATGGCCCCCCTTTTTCTCCCTGCTCCGGCAGACACGGTTGGACCTTTCCTGGTCCAGTAGGGTTGGCGGGAAATGCAAGGTTTTTAGTCTGAGGCCACGTCAGTTTGGCATGGCAGTCCGTCCACGTTCCCGTTTTGCTTGCCTGGGCAATAATGGATAGTAAAATCATAGGGTTGTAGGGCCAGGCTCCAGCGCAGTAAACGGGCATTGTCCCCTGAGACCCGGTTGAGCCAGACCAAAGCATTGTGGTCGGTGATAAGGGCGAAGGCACGGCCATAGAGATATGGAGTGAGGTTTTTGAGAGCCCAGACCAACGCCAGGCACTCTTTCTCAATGGTAGCATTAACTGACCTCCCTTGGCAACAGCTCCCGACTCAGGTAGGCTACTGGGTGCTGTCCTCCGTCCTCTCCGATCTGACTTAATACTGCCCCCAGTCCAAACATTGAAGTGTCTGTGTGGACAATAAATCTCTTGTTAGGATCTGGGGAAGCTAACGAGGGGCATTAACAAGAGCATTCTTTAACAGTTGGAAAGCCACCTCACACTCCGGGGACCACAGGACTTGTCGGGGTAACTTGTTTTTGGTTAAGTCAGTCAGGGGAGTTGTATTCCGGTACAAAGTGTCTGTAATAGCCGGTTGTTCCCAAGAAGACCATGACTTGTGTCTTGGCAGTTAAACAGCATGGAGAGGATATAACCGAATGCACATGGGTGAGTATAGGAGAATCCTTTACAGGCTGAAATCTGGAGCCAGAGGTATTTCTGGAAGTTGCTGGGTTTCTTTTCTTATTCCCCATTGTTTAGGATTGCTCCATGATTTTTCATGGATTGTGCTCTGCTTTGGTCAGAGCTCAGAGCTTAACAGTCTGCTTACATGGTCGACCGGACACTTCCCGCTCCCCTCTACTTTCTTATATTGTCCAAATCCATAGTGTGACCCTCTACTTTCTTATATTGTCTTGTCCGACTTTCCCTGTTGAATCTCCTGCAAGCTGGAACAGCAGACACAGGAGCAAATATTCTTCCCTCCAATAACTGGACGACACACAGTTTGGAGTGTAAGCAGGAACAGACTGAGCTGTGGTTTTATTGCTTCTTTTATACAGGTTTTTACACAATGTTACCACCCACAGGGTTTTGTGGCACAGCCAATCAAATACATTATAATACAGTTAAACACTCCCAGTTAGGACAAACAAACCCTCCCCTCTGCCTGTGATATAATTACTGTACACAATGGGTTAACTTAATTATTACAGGCAGGAAAATACAAATTTTTACACAATATTCATAACACAAAATATACATGCCTTCTCCATAAAAATATTAGTACATATTCTAAATCAGCATACTCCAAATACAAATATACTCAAAAATCAGACAATTTCCTGCCCAAAACAGTTCCACCGATTCAGGCTGTGCAGCCGGTCGTTCTGCTCCTCTATCCTGGAGATAATTGGCTTAAGTAACTGTAGCAAACTCAATTATCTCCAGGTACAGAAAATATCACTAAGTCACAACTGCAACAAAACACATTCAAATACGTAACTAATATTCTATAGTATTGAACACCCACATTTGACCTATCCCCAGATAACTTGGCTCTGAGCGCTCACTATAGCCGAACAGCGCTCAGATCCCACGAACAGTCAAATCGCCATGGGGTTAAACCGAGGAGGGACAAAGCAGATCGGGGCTATCAGGGGATGTAAATGGGGGAGGGAAAGAGGCACACCTTCCCATGGATTCAAAGGTGAAGAAAAAGTGTCCACTTTTTTTATGGTGTTGCTTTCATTTCTTGTCCGCAGCGGAGGATGGACAAATCACATGGTGAGGCACATGGGATTCTTCCTGGGAGATTCGCCTGCAGAGCTGAGTGGCCATGCTCCTAACAGGAGTAGTTAAGGAACAAAAAGCAATCTGAAATTATGCTGAGAGGTTCCGGTGCACAGGAAATGGTGGTCCTGTTTGGCAGCCAATGATTGCTTTGGCAGAATGTGTGTGCACAGTGGTGGAACTCATGCCCATATGCCAAACTCAGGGCACTGTCTGTATAACACGTCCTTAGTTGGTCAGCCTGCATGATTGGCAGGCAGCCTGACATGCATTCATGTCAAAAAAAGTAATGATGGTCCAGGCACTCATGTTCAATCCAGTGGGCAGATTTATTGGAGAAGAATCAAAACAACATTTTGGCCCACAACAGGGATCCATATTGGTAATTATATTGATGCATGCATGCCTGGCTGGACTTCCAATTCTTTGGGCAGACACTCCCCACTTTTGGGCATGTTCACCCCTTTCGGCAGTTCTGGTTATGTGTTTTACCCCGCCCACCGAAATCCTGCTTCACCGGGCACTGCTGTTAGGGGGTATGGATTTACTTGAAAGATGTAAGTAAGAGATTAGCATAGGGTTTGTGTTTTCTTACAGCTATATCCAGGGCCGGATTAACATAGGGGCTGATGGAGCTGCAGCTCCAGGCCCAGGCCCATGGAATAGGCCCATTGATTAAAAAAAAAAAAAAAAAAATTATTTTTTTTTCCACACACTACTCTTAGGGATTCCACCTGGCTTTTATATTATTGGCACAGCCAGTATTTGGGGCTGCCTGGCGGTGCCAATATTGCAGTGATACTGGCATTACAAATGCTGGTATTTTTCTCAGTATAAACAAGAGATTACTCTGCAATACCAGCACTGGCCAGTAGGGGTCACTGTGTGTGTGGAGACAGGCAGGGATAGGAAGTTCCAGCATATCCCTCCCTGCCTATCTATACTCACTGATCTGCAGGGGTGCAGCTACAGTGAGTCCAGACAGCAACTCCCAGCCTGCAGAGACAGCCTACAGCTCAGGGAAGTAAGGGATGGGGGGGGAAAGGCTGCAAGGAGACATTCACTGAGACACTAAGGGACATTGGGAGACATTATGAAACAGACACATGGGGACACAGTGTCCCCATGTCTCCCAGCCAGTGTCCCTGGTGTCTCAGTGACCCCTAGTCTCCTAGTGCCCCCAGTCTGCCAGTGTCTCACTGTCCCCATGTCTCCTAGTGCCTCCATGTCTCTCAGTGCCTCAAGTGTCACAATGTCTCCAAGCTAGTGTCCCTAGTGTCTGTGGCCCTGGTGTCTCAGTGTCCCCATGTCTCCCAGTGCCCCCATGTCTCAATGTCCCCATGTCCCCCAGCCAGTGTCTCTAGTGTCTGTGTCCCTGGTGTCTGTGTCCCCATGTCTTCAAGTGTCCCCTATTTTTCCATTGTCCCCATGTGTCCCAGCCAGAGTCCCCTAGTCTCCCAGTGTCACTGGTGTCTCCGTGTCCCTAGGTCTCCCTGTGTCCCCAAGTCTCCCCGTCTTTCTAGTGTCCTAGTGACATGGGGACCCTGGGATACATCGGGACACAGGGAGACATCGGGCATTGAGACACTGTGATACATAGGATCACTGGGAGACCCGGGGACACGACACTAGGGGACACTGGGAGACATGGGGCGCTGAGACACTGATACATAGGAACACTGAGACTTGGAGTAATCGACACATGGGGGCACTGGGAGACATGGGGGCACTGGGAGGAATCCATCTATACAGCAGAATCAAACTAAGTAGTTTTTTGGTGATTTTACAGCATTTTCTCTTATGTCACTCCTTGTGATTTACATCATGTGATGTCACCCATACATATTTAATTATGCAAATTAGTAAGGCCGGTATGTTTTTCCAAGAAAGGTGGCAACCCTAACTACTTTTTACATACTCTTACTTAAGTATGGAAACTTAAGAGGGATGTATGGGAACAAAACTTGTGTGGACTGGCTGACAATGAATATAGTTAAAGGGACACTATAGTCACCAGAACAACTACAGCTTATTCAATTTGTTCTTGTGAGTAGAATCATTACCGTCAGGCTTTTTGCTGTAAACACTGTCTTTTCCGAGAAAATGCAGTCTTTACATTACAGCCTAGTGATAACTTCACTGACTACTCCTTAGATGACTGTTAGAGATCCTTCCTGGGTCATGGCTGCCTAAAATGCATCCAAACATCAGTGTCTCCACCCTCTGCATGCAGACACTGAACTTTCCTCATAGAGATTCATTAATTCAATTCATCTCTATAAGGAGATGCTGATTGGCCAGGGCTGTGTTTGAATCATGCTGGCTCTGACCCTGATCTGCCTCTTTGTCAGTCTCAGCCAATCCTATGGGGAAGCACTGTGATTGGATCAGGCCACCACTTCTAATGATGTCAGCAGACTGCTTGTTTTTATGAGTCTAACAGCATGCAGAGTTACAGCTTCAGGCTAGAATATAGTAAGATTTTTCTATATTTATGGAGGCATGAGGGGCCCAGGGGGGCTAGATGGTGGTGTTAATACTATAGGGTCATGAATTCATGTTTGTAATCCTGACCCTCTTGTGATCCTTTAAGGTAATGCTGACTTTGGTCTCTCTAACACTGTGGCATGTTCCCTTTCTTCTACACTCACTACATACAGCTTTTCTCCTTCACAGACTATATACCAGGAGCTTCTGCCTGCTAATAAGAAGGTAAGGAGACAAGTGGACCAGCGAGTGCTAGGGAACAGTCCTTAGAAAGCGTTGAGTGAGCGCATCATTAGATGCATTTATGCCAAGCTCAGGGTGCTGTCTGCATAGTATGCCCTTAGTTGGCCAGCTGCATGATTGGCAGGCAGCCTGACATGCATTCATGCCAGACTGGCCTTCTAATTCTTTGGGCAGACATGTCCTCTTTTTGGGCATGTTCGCCCCTTTTGGCAGGTTACGTGATTTGTGTCAGTGGCACACCCTTTTACCATGCCCATGGACTTCATGCCTGACTGGACACTGCTGTTAGGGGTTATGGATTTACTTAAAAGATGAAAACATAAATTAGAGAGAGATTAGCCTAGGGTATGTGTTTTCTTATAGCTGCTGTTTTTTTTCTCTCCAGCACCATCTCTATCAGATACATGATGCTTGGGAGTGTTTTACTGTTTTTGGTTGATATGATTCTGTTATTAGGCCCGTCATAATTGTCAGCACCAGGCCCACTGGGCTCTTAATCTGGCCCTGGCTATATCTTGTGAGTTTCCCTCCATCACCAGCTCAAGATACATGACTTGTGGAAGGTATGACTGTTGGTGTTTTTGATCGTTAAGATTTTGTAATTCGGCCCATTATGATTGTCAGCACCAGGCCCACTGGACTCTTAATCTGGCCATGCATGTACAAATGTCTTTTTTTTTTTTTTAAAAAGAGGGTTCCTAAGATACAGCAGTTACATCATAAGCAGTATCTCAACTGCTACAACAACGGGGTCTATCAACTGATCAAGTACGGTCCACAGGGGAAGTCCCACAAAGGTCACTGTGACGAGACCAATCTCGCCACTGTGCATTGGAGGAGCCTGGTTGCCTGCCTGCTGCCTTTTAACTATGGACTGGCATTTAAATACTTTATTTTCCTATGCAGAAAGGTTTATTCATGTATTTCTGCCTGGGGGTTCGGTAGATTCTATCTACCAAACAAACAGACATCTATTGGCCTCCCAGGAGCCGCAGTTAGCTGGCAGGCGCCGTTAATTGGCCACACAGAAGCCGGCTAGCGCCGCCAATTGACCGTCCAGAGGCTGCGGTTAGCCGCGACTTAACGAGCGTGTGCTGTCAATTGACCACCCAGTAGCTGCGGTTAACCGCAGCTTAATTGACTATACCGGGTAGATTACTTCCCAATTATCTCCAGGATAGAAGACTCTGTGGAACTAGTTTTGGGCAGAAAAGCCATGCTTCATTTGGTCACAGAGGACTACGATCTATCTTTTGAACCCCTGTACCAATTTGTATGATTTTGACGTATGTTTGTGAATGTGATGCATACTTTTAAAATTATGAATAATGTGGAAAAACTGTATTTCTCTGCCTGTGATAATTACATTATCCATTGTGTAAGGTAATTGTATCACAGGCAGAGGGGAGGATTTTGTGTGGGAGTGTCTGAGTGTATTGTACGTGTTTATTGGTTGTTTTCCAAAACCCTGTGGGTGGTACTAATGTGTATATAAGAACAATAAACCCACAGCTCTGGCTGTTCACTGCTTGACCCTCAACACGGAGCTTTGTCTCGTTCTTGGGGGGATTTACTGTATGCTGACTGCCAGGAGTGTAAACCTTTCGTATGATTTTTCCTATTCGGCTGTTTACAGCATTCGTATGGTTTCCTGTTTGGCGGATTGGTGTCTTTGGTAGCTGCCTGTATATCTGGAAGGGGAATATCTCCTAAACGGCTGTTAACCCCTTTTATGCCTGGGGGTGCCGTTACAGTTACCATTGTGATTTCCAGAGTGGACACAAGTATCGAAAAGCTCACTTCACTTGTCCACTGAAACATAGAATCTGGACTGGATCCAGCCTCATTCTGGTACTCTGTTACTAGCAGTGATTATTTTTTTATAAATTTATTTAACATTTTTGGGTAATACTTTGATGGAGGAAGATCCCTGAAATTCGAATTCCCACAGATTGCATTCAGATATTGTTTGTTAAACCGTTTTTTTCCTATGTTTGTGCTGGGTGTAACATTCCCTGTTTTTCACTTTTGGAGTGGTCAATATGGCCCCATGTTTTATGTCACAAGATTCATCTATTTGTTGTCATTGAAGTCTTTTATTTCCACTTTTGATGATGATTTGCTGTAATTGAGATCAACAGGAATTGTGTTCTATCATAATTTGACACATTGCTTCACATTTTGTTTTATTCTTATGATGCTGAGCACAGTGTGGCCCCAACTGATTTAAGGCACAGGACATCGTCTACTGTTTCCCTTTGGGAATACTGTGAGTACACTGCCCATGTAGTACTCACATTTTAGAGGTCCTCTCTCCAACTCTCGTGGGCCTGGTATGCGGGGCAGAGTATTGCTGTGGTAACCCACCACAGTGCTTTGATCGCAGGTGGAGAGCGGACCCACCAGAAACAAAAGAGAAAGCGAGTCCTGGGTTCCGACCGCCATGCCCTCTACAATGTGAGTGCTTCACGGGCAGCTTTCACACAGCCAATGTCCCCCTCCTTGGCCACAAGTAAAAGACCGGGAGAGGTAAAGAATATCGGTACCGCTTATCAGCCCAGATGCCACAGATAATCGTATTGGCATATTAAAATTAATATCAGTCAATCTCTGAACATGTATTGTTTACATTAAAAGCCTAAAGGGACATATTATACACACCAAAACAGCTACATTAATCTGTGTGCCATACATTAATCTGTAGTTTTTATGGTGACTAGTAGACAACCCAGGGTATACAAAATGAGGTATACCATCTAATATACAGCTTGCCCTCTATATACCTTTTACTGAACCCCCATATATATCATTATACTCTGCACTGTACCCGTACATTGACCATCCCCCCAATATATTAACAATGACCAATAACACACAGATAGGATTATTTGTTTTTATTGAATGGACATATTGCTCTACTCAGGAGGGTCCCCATTTTACTACAGTACCCAGGGGCCCGAGGTATATGTTGAGGAATATCCACACCAGGTTCAGGCATTACAGAAAGGCTCCATGCAACACTTTACTGTAAACAATTTGCTTTTCTTTTTATATATGTCACATCCATCTTTAGTGAAGCATGTCCGCTCCAAAACTGAGGGAAACAAGGAGAATGGGGTTAGATAATGGGGTGCAGGATACAGGAGTTACAGGGGTTTGTACCAGTGCAGGAGACTGGGGTTAGAAGGGTTAGTATTGGTGAGAGGTTATGGGAGCAGTAAATGGATGTTTTAGGGTTTTCTACCAGTGAGAGATAATGGGGTGCAGGAGATGGGGTTAGAGGGGATCCTACCAGTGAGAGATAATGGGGTGCAGGAGATGGGGTTAGAGGGGATCCTACCAGTGAGAGATTATGGGGTGCAGGAGATGGGGTTAGAGAGGTTCCAACCAGTTAGAGATAATGGTGTGCAGGAGACTGGGGTCAGAAGGGTTAGTATCGGTGAGAGATAATGTGGTGCAGTAGATGGGTGTTTTAGGGTTTTCTACTAGTGAGAGATTATGGGGTGCAGGAGACGGGGTTAGAGGGGATCCTACCAGTGAGAGATTATGGGGTGCAGGAGACGGGGTTAGAGAGGTTCCAACCAGTTAGAGATAACGGTGTGTAGGAGACAGGGTTAGAGGGTATCCTACCAGTGAGAGATAATGGGGTGTAGGAGACAGGATTTCTTACCTAGTATATCCTTTACATTTGGATAATCACTGTTGTTAGCATTTCCATCAGGATCTGTGATGTTTCTATGAGATCTCATGCACACTGTCTCCCCTGGGTCACAAACTGTGGAATTATTCCTCAAGCATTCTTCTGGATTTTTACAGTAATGGCACTTAAAACCTAATATAAAGAGAACACGGAACTTGCTAAACATACCGTCTCTGTAGAGATCTCTCTATACAATGGATACTCTCTCTGATCTCTTTCTATACGATGGATCCTCTCTCTGATCTCTCTCTATATGATGGATCCTCTCTCCGATCTCTCTATACGATGGATCCACTCTCTGATCTCTCTCTATACGATGGATCCTCTCTCCGATCTCTCTATACGATGGATCCACTCTCTGATCTCTCTATACGATGGATCCACTCTCTGATCTCTCTATACGATGGATCCTCTCTCTGATGTCTGTCTACACGATGGATCTTCTCTCTGGTCTCTCTATACGATGGATCCTCCCTCCAATCTCTCTCTACACAATGGATCCTCACTCTGATCTCTCTATACAATGGATCCTCTCTCTGATCTCTCTCTATACAATGGATCATCTCTCATCTCTCTATACGATGGATCCCCTCTCTAATCTCTCTACACGATGGATCCTCTCTCCGATCTCTCTCTACACGATGGATCCTCTCTCCGATCTCTCTCTACACAATGGATCCTCTCTCTGATCTCTATACAATGGATCCTCTCTCCGATCTCTCTCTATACGATGGATCATCTCTCTCTATACAATGGATCCTCTCTCCGATCTCTCTCTATACAATGGCTCCTCTCTCCGATCTCTCACCATACAATGGCTCCTCTCTCCGATCTCTCTCTATACAATGGATCCTCTCTCCGATCTCTCTCTATACAATGGATCCTCTCTCCGATCTCTCTCTATACAATGGATCCTATCTCTGATCTGTACGATGGACAATGATTGTGAAGTTTTCACTCACCAGTCTCTTTTGGAGATGCTACATCAGCACCTGTAGATAAAATGCAATGTAATCAGTGATGTATTGATAAATAACAACCAACGCCTCTCACAGCATTCTTACCCATCACAGTGAGAGATTTCCTTACATGCTCACCTTCCCATTACTTTGTATAGAACGTTCTCTGTACCCACACAATGGATCCTCTCTCTGATCTCTCTATACAATGGATCCTCTCTCTGATCTCTCTCTATACAATGGATCCTCTCTCCGATCTCTCTCTCTACAATGGATTCTCTCTGATCTCTCTCTATACAATGGATCCTCTCTCCGATCTCTCTCTATACAATGGCTCCTCTCTCCGATCTCTCACCATACAATGGATCCTCTCTCTGATCTCTCTCTATACAATGGATCCTCTCTCCGATCTCTCTCTCTACAATGGATTCTCTCTGATCTCTCTCTATACAATGGATCCTATCTCTGATCTCTCTGTACGATGGACAATGATTGTGAAGTTTTCACTCACTAGTCTCTTTTGGAGATGCTACTTCAGCACCTGTAGATAAAATGCAATGTAATCAGTGATGTATTGATAAATAACAACCAACACCTCTCACAGCATTCTTACCCATCACAGTGAGAGATTTCCTTATATGCTCACCTTCCCATTACTTTGTATAGAACGTTCTCTGTACCCAGAGATAGCTCTGTATAAGGGACTGTTCTCCTGCCACCCTGCATAAGGGAACACTTTCATATTAATGTGTAAATATCCCCTGCAACTCCTCTGGCTTCTGCCTTCCCACCTCTGTAGCTTTCTCCTCTCCCAGCTCTTCCACCCCCCACTCTCCACCGCCTTTCTACTCTCCCAGCTCTTCCACCCCCCTCCCTCCCACCGCCTTTCTCCTCTCCCAGCTCTTTTCCTCCCTTCCTGCCTTTTTCCCCTCCTGGGTCTTTATCCCCCTCCATGCCTCTTTCTCCCCCTCCCAGCTTTCCCCCATGCCTGCCTTTTTACCTTCCTAGCTCTTTCCAACTAAAGTGATTTTCTCCCCTCCCGGCTCTTTTCCCTCGCTCCCTTTCTGCTCCCCAGCTCCTCCCCCACACACACCTTGCTTGCTGTATTTCTCCCCTCCTGGCTCTTTTCTACTCACTGCATTTATCCCCTCCCAGCTCTTTCCCCTCTGGCTACCTAACTTGTGCCATTACAGAGTGAATGTAAAAATGATGGTCTGGGGTTTCTGAATCTCTCATACATAGAGAACTTGCGGACATTTCAGCTCTGGGCTGTTCTTATGGTTGAGATCAGTCTGATATGAGACAGGCTAAGGTTCTCTCTATATTTGTTCCTGATGAGCTAAGACTAGTGTGAGAACTGAGTGGGGACTCACTGGAGAAGGGGTGTTGGCGTTTGTTTTGGTGTGTGCTCCCTCTGCTAGCTCTTTGCCCCCATAGGTGTCTTTGTCCCCTTAGTCCTCCTTACCGTGTGACAGGACTGCCACCAGCAGGACACACACAGCGATCACCTTCATCATGGTAGTCATCTCAGACAGAGTGATCCAGTGCGAGTCGTCTCTCTATATATTGAGATCTCCCACACCCTGTTCTTTCTGGTAATGTCACACACCCATCTACACCCTCGCTCCAAAACATCAGCCACACCTGTCTCTCAACCATCAAGACAGAGAGTCACGCAATGAGACCTACATCTTCAGAATGGACTGACAATATACAACTTGCCTAACACGTGCATGGCTGGTATATTTTGCACCCAAATTGCAGCATGTAGAGAAATAAATCCACTTACTGTCAGGGCGAAAATATGAAAAAACTTTTTATTGATATGTGACCATCTCAGGCAGTGCTCACCCAATGTTTTAGAGAATTTTGTAATTATGTATAAAATTGAATTTGAGTGGCATCTGGATAGTGCAGGAGGAAGGGTAAGATGTATATTTTACATACAGTGCAGTACATGGGTAATTCTGTATGAAGATATACAGTTGTAATCAAAATTATTAAACTATTCAGGTTTATTGTCAAAATTTACACTTTCAGCTGTTTGCAATGAAACAATCAAACAAAAGCAATTGAAATAGCTCAACACAACGAATGCTTCAAGGGGTGAAACATAGAATGTGACGGCAGATAAGAACCATTTGGCCCATGTAGTCTGCCCAATTTTCTAAATACTTTCATTAGTCCCTGGCCTTATCTTATAGTTAGGATAGCCTTATGCCTATCCCACGCATGCTTAAACTCCATTACTGTGTTAACCTCTACCACTTCAGCTGGAAGGCTATTCCATGCATCCACTACCCTCTCAGTAAAGTAATACTTCCTGATATTATTTTTAAACCTTTGTCCCTCTAATTTAAGACTATGTCCTCTTGTTGTGGTAGTTTTTCTTCTTTTAAATATAGTCTCCTCCTTTACTGTGTTGATTCCCTTTATGTATTTAAATGTTTCTATCATATCCCCCCTGTCTCGTCTTTCCTCCAAGCTATACATGTTAAGATCCTTTAACCTTTCCTGGTAAGTTTTATCCCGCAATCCATGAACCAGTTTAGTAGCCCTTCTCTAAACCCTGATTATTATTATTATTTTTTTGTGGTTTCCCCAAATTCAATTGAAAATGCTGAATAATGACTTCTCCAGTCTCAAAATTATTCAACCCCTTCATGGCAAGCATCTTAAGTACTTAGTAGAGCACCCTTTTGCTGTTATGATCTGCTGCAAACGAGATGCATAGCCAGACCCCAGCTTCTGGCAGTGTTCCTGAGGAATCTTAGCCCATTCTTCAGGAGCAATGTCCTCCAGTTCACAAATATTCTTGGGTTTGCGTGCTGCAACCACCTTCTTCAAGTCCCACCACAGAGTTTTTTAAGGGGTTCAAGTCAGGTGACTGATGGTCACAGGTCTACTTCTGCAACCAAGCCTTGGTGGAATCTGAGGTATGCTTGGGATCATTGTCTTGTTGGAAGGTCCAATAACGCCCAGGATTTAGCTTCCTCGCAGATGGTATGACGGTTTCTCTTATGATTTCCTGGTACTAAATCCATCTTCCCTTCCATACGCTGCAGGTTTCCAGTGCCAGAGGATGCAGCAGCCTCAGAGCATCACGAACCACCACCATGCTTAACTGTAAGCAGTGTTCTTTTTGTCATATGATTCATTCTTCTTCTTCCAGACACACACTGATTCATTGGGTTTGAAAAGTTCCAGTTTTGCTTCATCGCTTCACAGGACATAATCCCCAAACTTCTGTGGGCATATTGGAGCCGACGTTTCATGTGGTTTTGGGGACAGTAGTAGTGTTTAGTACGCGTCTTACTGTGCTCACTGGAACCTCAGCGCCTGCTGCCACCAAGACTTGCTGCAGGTCTTTTGCAGTTATTAAAGATAGTGTGAACAAGAAATAATATTCCGTTCACATGTATAGCCGTAACACCAAATTATCTCAGAAATGCCAAAAAAGATTAGGTTGCACTTGTGAGTCATTCCATCATTAAATTAACAGGATTCTCACACTTTAGGGACGACCACACCCCGGCAATATACACAAAGGTGTAACCCACTCAGTTCCACTCCCAGGCCGCCACTAAATCAAAGGGGGTAACAGTCCTTATTCACAAAGATGTAGCAATTACCATACACCAACAGAGTATAGACCCGAAAGGCAGATATATTATATTAGTGGGCCAGTTTAACAGCATCCAACTTACGCTGATAGCCACATACTTCCCCAACAAGCGATAGGGACAATACCTGCAAATGCTGCTTAACAAAATTGACGGGATTAAACAAGGCAACATAATCCTATGCGGGGATTTTAATAGTATCCAGTCACCCACACTAGATACGACAGCCACCCTCACAGGTAACAGTAAAAAGAGAATAGCCGCTACCAGCAAATTAACCACTAAGTTGATAGACGATTATGACTTATACGATGCATGGAGGGCACTAAACCCAGAGGAGAGGGACTACACCTTCCACTCAAGGGTTCATAACACATACACACGCATAGATGCAATCTTCCTGGATAGGACACTCCTGGCACAACTCAATAAATGTACAATAGGGGAAATAACATGGTCAGACCATGGACCGGTGTACCTAGATCTCCTTGACGCCTACCAATTCAAGGGGAGGGGGACGTGGCGACTGAACGACTCACTTTTACTGAACTCAACCTTTGTGCGGGAGAGAAGGGAAGCACTCCAAAACTATTTTACAACTAACGCAGGACAGGGAGTCTCAGATACCACAGTATGGTCAGCGCATAAGGCAGTTATGAGAGGGGTATTCATCAGAAGGGCATCCTTCCTGAAACGGCACCACCAAACCACACTCCTAGACTGTCACAAACAAATAGCACTGGTAACCAAACAAAACAAACAACAACCCTCCCCAGCACTAGCAGCACAACTAAAAAAGCTGCACTCGAGGCTAAACGAACTAAACACAGATAAAACAAAAACTTTACTCCATAAATTAAAAGCCAATGTCTACCACAATGGAGGTAAAGCCAGTAAATATTTGGCCAATAGACTGAGAGACAGATATGCCAACACAAAAATCACTAGAATCACAGGGGCAGATGGCAAACTACACCACACGCCAGCGAACATCAGCAAAGAATTTGCTGAATTCTACTCCAAACTATACAATCTACGAACACTAGACACCACACACAGGGCGAGCCACGAGGACATAGACGAATACCTGAGACAAACCAATCTCCCCCAAATATCTCAAACACAAAAAACAAATCTGACAAAACCCATAGAAATTCAGGAAATCCTGAAGGTAATAGCGGGCCTCCCCAATGGAAAATCCCCAGGGGCAGACGGCCTCACTAATGCCTACTATAAACTCTTTGCCAAGGAACTCACCCCACACCTACTACGAGTGTATCATGCAGCCTCGAATTCAGGAACACTACCGGAGATTCTACTGGCCACAATTGTCACACTCCCCAAACCAGGAAAGACACCAGATAAATGCCAAAACTATCGCCCGATCTCGCTGCTCAATACTGATGCCAAAATATACGCTAAAATACTAGCCAACAGACTCAAAGACATGCTACCCGATCTCATAGGGGATGACCAGACCGGGTTCGTGACTGGTAGACAGGGATTAGATAGCACTAGAAAACTGACACTACTACTAGAGGGCCTACGGAGACACAGGAAAGGAGGACTGTTACTAGCCCTGGACGCGGAAAAAGCGTTTGATCGCCTTAACTGGACTTTCCTAGACAGAACCCTAAGAGTGTACGGACTCCCCCAAACAATGATAAACCAAATATTCGCTCTATACTCCGCCCCGGCAGCACAAGTCCTTCAATCAGGATTTAAATCCAATCCCCTTGCCGTCTCTAATGGGACGAGAGAAGGTTGCCCACTCTCCCCTCTCCTATATGTGTTGGCACTTGAACCCCTCCTTCGCACCATCAGGGCCCACCCCGAGATTAAGGGTATTAAAGTAAAGAACACCGAATACAAAATCAGTGCCTTTGCAGATGACGTCTTACTCTATGTGACACAACCCCAAGACTCATTACCTCACATAATGCAGGCAATAAGAACATACGGTCACCTATCGTACTACTCCCTAAACTCCTCGAAAACACAAGCCATGGGGATTAATCTTCCCTCCACTTTAACCAAATCGCTACGCATCAAATACGACTTCGAATGGAGGAAGGACTATATAACATATCTAGGGCTCCACATCACCAGACAGAACAAAGACTTGGTAACGGGGAATTATATTAGAGTCTGGAAGGAATGCAGGTCAACCCTCAAAAAATGGGAGCACTTGTTCCTTACATGGACGGAAAGAGTGACAGCACTGAAAATGTCCATACTCCCCAGGCTACAATATATTTTTAGAACGTTGCCCATAAAGATCCCCCAAACATGCTTTAAAACAGTCCAAAGAGATGCCAATGCATTCATATGGGAAGGAAAGAAACCACGAGGAACGAGGAAACTGCTAGCAGCTCCGCAGAGGGCAGGCGGCCTAGCAGTCCCAGACATACGAGCCTATTATCACGCTTCCATATTAGCAGCGGCATTGCCACACCTGATAGATCAACCACCCCCACAGTGGGTGACATTGGAAAGACACCTGATGGAACCATACGAACTATCACATGTAATATGGCTCCCCAAACCGCTTAGACCACCAATGGTAGACACCCCTGAGGAGATCAAATTACTCCTACAGGTCTGGGACACACACAGGAACAAACTGAGCTCGAACTCCCAAGTATCACAAGCCACACCAATACGGGCACTAACATACTGCATACCTACATTTCATGCAATACCATGGCACGATAGAGGCGTCACGACCTTAGCACAGGCCCATACAGGGAAAAGGCTCACAGACTTCAACACACTACAACAAACATATAACATCCCGAATACCTCACACTTTTCATACAGACAACTAGCATCATTCCTCCATAACCACAACCCAGATAGCACACAGCAAGACCCAGGCCCACAAATACACACCCTTTGGGAAGACATATGCATCAAGCGTAGACTCCAAAAGATATACAGACCATTATCATCCTGTTACAAATTCTACAATACACTCCACTAGCGGAAGCCTCACCGGCGATACAATGGGGGAGGGAGCTGGGCACAGACCTAAACAAACAACAATGGGAAGATCTAGTGACCTCCCCTAGAAAACTGATAAAATCAGCAACACTCATAGAGCAACATATGAAGATGGTATATAGGAGGTACTTGGTCCCCGAAAAGCTACACAAACTCTACCCATCCAGCTCACCAGAATGCTGGAGATGCACCAAGCATATAGGTACCACGGTACACGTCTGGTGGCACTGCCCACCGATACAGCCCTTCTGGAAAGCTGTCCAGAAGGTACTTAAGGAACTCTCACTCGACGAACCACAATACGAACCAAGCACGTACCTCTTGCTTGTGCTCCCCCCCCAAGACACCTCCCTTTATAAAGAAATTCGTATACCATCTCCTACTCACTGCCCAACGCGCAATCGCAAGGGCATGGAAAACTCACGCTACTCCGCCCATAGAATCAGTACTAGCAGAAATAGACAACCAAAAAATCTACGAGAAACGATTCAATACAGTATGCCCCCCAAATGAAATGACACTGGCTACCTGGGAGAGGTGGGAGACATGGAGATGGGAGCACCCACCATAAAGACTACCTACCACACCTCTCCTGAAACACAGAGTAACTGGGAGAGAGAAAAGAGGGAAGGCTGGGTATATAGATAGATAGAGGATACTGGACTAGACTTAACGAGGTCACAAAAATCTAAAATCTAAATTAACAGGATTCTTACCACAGTGCTGGACTTTTCCCAATTATGGATAATGTGTCACAATAGGTGCACGTAGGTGCGCACACATAGATAATCCCAAATAATCCACAGAAAATGATGTATACGAAAAGAGGGCACATTTATTGATAATAAAGGTATGCATTTCAAAAAGCCATGCTGTCACTGCAGCCCTCAAAGATGCTAAAGGTAGTACAGGCATATCACACCAAACCATGGCAGAGCACTGACACGACACACATTTCCCAGCAAAAGAGAGAGATAAAATATCAATTTACCATACTACGTGCAACTGCCAGACTGGGGAGAGACCACCCAGGAGAGAGCACCCTTCCTTGGAACACGTCCAGAGCTTTTACACTCTTTTTCGGGGTGGTCTCTCCCCTGTCTGGTAGTTGCAGGTAGTACGGCAAAAGACACGATTGTATCAAATTCTGTAGAGATTTAAAAAAACTAAAAGTCTGGATAATGTTTTTCTTAGAGAAGCCCAGACTGTTATAGGGTATGTAGCGGAGATGCAATATTCCCCAGGTTATCACCGCTTATAATCCAAGTGAGGCTCAGGAACAAGTAAATTGTAAATCCACAGGCAAGGTTTCCAGCAGGTAAAATAACAGCAGTATCCCAACAGCAATCCCAATAACTGGACGACACACAGTTTCAGGAGCAGAACTGAAAGCTTTATTCCACACTGGCCTTTTAAAGCATGCTCCCATGCAAGGGAGGGATTTACAGTCATTCGTACAGTAGCCAATCCTGTCCTGGTAACCTCCCACACATCTCCTCCCCTCAGCCTGCATCATAATCCCCTTATCCAATACAGCAATTCCCCCCGTTTCTGGATGTACCCCTAAATGTAGGGGAACCCCCTTAAATCGTACATCCCCTGGTAGCCCTGATCTGGGTGAACAACATATCCAAAAATCACCCAGATCCGACCAGGGGTTCGGGAAAGTTATGGAGGGAATAAAATGACCGACCGCACTGTGTGAAACAGCCGAATGCGGTTCCATGTGAATGGGCCCTGCGGTCAGTCCTGGAGTCAGGGAATGAATGGCACGAAAACCTCTAGCTATAGAGGCTAGGGAGGGTTCGCCTGAAGGGGCCGTTCGGTAGTTAGGAACCGAACGGACCAGGCTTGTGGAGGTTTCAGCGGTGTTCGCCTAGTCCAGTGTCCGATTTGAGTTCCAGACACTCGACGGCAAAACACCACTGTTCGGGAGTTTTAAAATGGCCGCCGCCACGTGTTCGTTTGTCGAATGGAGGCCACCCCCGAGAACAAAGGACGGCTACTTAACTTGTCAATTACCCGTTCGCAACAATGTTGCAACGGGTAATTGAGGACACACTTCACACAGGGGAGGTCTGATTGTTCGGTAGTTTCATTCCCTTAGTTTATTCGAATGATTCTACCGAACAATCAGAGGAATACAATTCTTTTAAACACATATAAAACCAGCAGTTTACACGAATGCAACTATTCACCAGACATTTGCAGGACAGCCCAGCGCCATCCGCTACAGGGTATAATTAATTTCGGAATCAAAAAGGAATCTTTTCCCTGTCTGTGCATTACATCTTACTTTAGTGACTCTATGAATTGTGCAGAGCTTCCATAGCATGGGGATTTATGTAACAAACTGCACACGTTCACAGTAGAAAACGTTCATTAAAGAATGGATCCAGAAATAAAAACAATCCACAGGGGAAACATACACTGTAATGACACGTCTGCATCTAAAAAACAAATCTAACTTCTAATCGGGCAAATCAGTCTGGACTAATATAAAATATAATACTAATATTACAATGTGAAAATAATACAAGCCATTATATTTTGCAAAGAAAGGCATAAAACTCACATATTGAAGGACGGATAGGATTACCCTACGTCAATACATATCCTGTTCTTTATCAACAATAAAACATTTATTTTAAAAAGTGGAGAAAAAACACAATTTGTAGAAAACTTCCATATCCCCAGAGCAATATTGAAAGATAATTTGTTTGCCCTTATTTTGAAAACACATCTGCCTGAGAACTCTGAGAAGTCTCATATTCTGTTTTAGTTGGAATGCATTGCTTTGGGATCCCCCTAAGGTAAAAGGGTAATCCAGATGTGGACCTCATGCTCGCGGTGCTTAGAGGGGTATCCATTACACGTCACTGGCCCAAAGAAGGGCAAAACGATAGTTCGGGGCTGCGGTATCTCTCGTGTGTGCGTTATGGGTGGGATCAGTCTAATAAGCCTTGGAAGAGGTTATCTCTGTACTGGCTCAAGTGAGCAAACACTAGCTTGAGATCTGAGTGTGGGCCCACCGAAGGGTTTCTCTAAGTTTCTGTCTGTTCTCAGAGTTCTCCTATTCTCTGTTTTTGTTACTTGTAATAAAGGAATGAGATTTAGTGCAGGATATCACATGTACGGTACTCCCATCAAGCGTGGCACTTCACAAACTCAGCAATCCAGCCTGGAGATACTGGATAACAATGTTGCTTTACAAGTGGACACGTGAATGTAGGTCTGACCTACTTTTGTGTGTGCTTTACATGTTAATACGTGTAGATTGGGTGTTGTAGCGGAGAGCTAGTATTTCATAGCCTACCTCCACTTGTAGATCCCAGTGAGGCTCAGGAACAAGTAATTATAGATCCATAAGGCAAAGCATCCAGCAGGCAAAACAATATAGCAAAATCCCCCCAGCACTCCCAATAACTGGACGACACGCAGTATCAGGAGCAGAACTAAAGATTTATTCACAGCAGCTCCTTATAAAGGATTCTCCCATGCAAGGGAGGGATTTACAGTAATTACAACAGTAACCAATGATACAGAGGTTCCCTCCCCTCAGAGTGACACTTAATCCACTTAATCCTGGCACCTTTTCCTCTGTTTCTTGGATGTACCCTAAAACCATGGGGTACCAGGACTTAAGTGGCACCCCCTGGTAGCTCTGGTCTGGGTGACCAACATACTCAAAATTCACCCAGATCAGACCAGGGGTTCGGGAGGTACAGGCATTAAACGATTTGACTGACCGCACGCGAACATGTAGCCGAAAGGAGTTCCATGCATTCTGGCCCTGCGGTCGGTCTTCGTTCGGGAGATGAACTAGGCATAAATCATTGACATCCATAGAAAATACTGGGTTCGCATTGAAATGGAAATCAACTCAATCGATTGATTATTCTTGTGTATCTGACCCTGGCCAAATTAAAGAAACAATGCATGCACGCTCCCTGAAGTAATTCACACCAGACACAAGTTTCAGGTAGTTGAATAACTTGAGGAATGTTTATTCAGAGGGGACGGCAAGTCCCTTTTAAAGCAAAATTACATCATAAGCATTGTCAGAGATAACATGGAATAATACGGTATTAATTGGTTAGGTGTTAAGTAGTTATCTTAGTGCTCTGCCTACTAGAGGTGATGTCACTGAGACCATGAGGGTCTTCCCCAGATCTCAGCGCCATCTTGTTACACGAGGTAGTTAGTCGAGGTTATAAGAAGGGAGGGGTTAGAAACTTCTAGCAGCCATTTTGTCTAAATATGCGTGAATAGCTTATCTACTGATTTCAGTGCGATGGGTAAATAGACATTTTACTAACTACAAAGATATATATGTATATGTCCATATTTTATTTCCACAACAGTCCCCCCTTAAAATGGCTATTTACCATAACAACTGCAGCTGTCCCTTACACATCCCTAGCTGCCTGCAGCTCATCTGTCTTAACGAGCATCGAACTCTTCACTCCGTGGGTAACCCGCGGTGGCTAATCCACCACATCTCCACACGTGAGACTTGCCCGTAGAGACAGACGCTTTCCCTACGCTATCCCTACAGGAGTGCAGTTGCCTGTTTAAATTGGTGAGGTTGGAGGGGTGTGTGTGGTGTGTCATAGTCTAGTTCAGTAACGTCCTGATGTAGGAAGGTAGGAGTTGCGTCATCTATAGTCTTCCCCACTGCTTTCTGTAAGTACCTTTTGTATGCAAGGAAACACACAACAGATTAAGAACAAGAAGATAATGAGCACTATAAGGACCGCAGTCCCAACCTGGAATAAAGTTCTCTGCCAACCATTCATCCATCCAAACCACCTTTCCCAAGTATCCATGACTCCTGAATTCCTCTTTAATTCATCTGAGAGACTGTCCAGTTTCTCTATGGCCATAGTTACTTTACCATTGGGCCCAGTGTTGTCTGGAATGAATGTGCAACATGTCATGGTTTCGGGGAGGATCTTGCAAACGCCCCCCTTTTCTGCTAATATCATGTCTAGGGCCATTCTATTTTGAAATGTCATTTGTGTGGTGGCTTGCAACTGTTCTGCCAGGCCCTGTAGGGCATCCCTGGTGTAATTAACAAACCGTTGTTGATTGTAATAGATATAGTTAATCCAATTGACATTCTTGTTGGCTGTGATCATTGGAATTAAGGATTCGAATCCAGCTGTTACTTCATCTCTTGCTTTAAACTCATTAGGAACCCCCCTTGGCATGCCTATGACATTATGTAAACATGTGGGTCAAAGCTACCACGGATTGGGGCCTCCCTTCTAGTTCTAGGGCTTGTATGTGTGTGGTCTGACTCATCATTATAGCCATCAGGGATAATGTGGATGGGCATTATGGCTTTCGTTAGTGTGCATTCTCCCCACCACAGCCCCACTAGCTGGGATCTTAGTTGCTTATCACCACACAGCCAGTATATATCTCCAACTGTCTTCACATGATTCATCAGTAATGTTGTGGGTGGATTGTGATAGGTGGAGCAATAACCTGATGGAAATTTACCCATGTACAAACCTGTGTTCTTAGGTATTGAATAACAGGTGTAATTACCTGGATACATGGTGACTCCGTCAGGTGGCTTAACATGTCCTTGGATAACAGGATAAACCTTTTTCCATGACTCACACATGGAGGAATTAGTAGTGGATTGTGCATAAAGACTCAAGACACATGACTCAACTTCGGGAGGTAGATTTAAAGGTACTGTGCCTAGGTGGGGCCTACCTCCCCCACATACATAACAGTTAGTCTTATTATGTGAATTAGCATTGTACCTCATCCATTCCAGCCATAAATTAGTGTCTGAAAACCCTGTCTCGACTGCCATGGTGTCCTCAAAGGTAGGGTTAGCGATAGCAACCATGTCATGCAAAGTTTTAATGTGAGGTTTGAGTGGATTGATGGTCATATGCGTGGTGCCTACCCAGTCGGATGAGTTGAACATGTCTTGTAAATAAAATGTCCCCAGCTTGTTGTGTGAGCCGCCCCCCTTCCAATACATGCCCATCACATATTCCCCTGCATCCCCAGGACTAGGATGCTCTATGTTTAGAGTGAGTTTGATGGGGGTTGACCCAATAGGTTTGGTTAAAGTCATTCTAGAGAGTAAGAGCTTCCCGTCCTGGTCAAGTCTGTCAAGGGCACTCTGTGGTCTATATCCTCATGGCCTGCCCGTGTTCCACCCGGCTGCTTTCCATGAACTACAATGATGGCCCCAAGATCCCCCAGTCACACAAATATATGGATCTTTTTTACTGGGTATGTCCTTGAATATGTAAATATTGTTATCTTTGGTTATGGCCACCTGTTGGGGCCATGCAAATTTTAGCAGCATAAAGAAACACAGGAGATACAACAAATTCATGGCTCAGCGGGGGTGGTTTCTCCTGGAGCAGGCACTTTCTTGCAGTGTGAGGCGTGTATCCAGGAACTCTTCCCAGCCAATTTGACAGAGGTAGCTGTAATTAGGAGTACTTGGTAAGGACCATCAAATCTTGCCTCAAGAGTGTGTTTTCTGAGAAATTTCTTGACCATAACCCAATCACCGGGAAGCAACTTGTGTGTACCTGTATTCGACTCAGGATCTGGAATAGAAGAAAACACTTCGGCATGGATTTTGGTCAAGGCACGAGAGAGAGCAGTTACATAATCTACCATAGCATCTGACTGTATCTGAAGCTGCTGAGGGAAATAACAACCTAATCTGGGTGCAGTGCCAAACAGAATCTCATAGGGAGATAAATTGCATTTCCCCCTAGGGGTATACCTTACACTGAATAGTGCTAATGGGACATCTTGAGCATTCTGGCCTTTAACGTGCCATTCATGCGTTCTACCTTGCCACTACTCTGTGGATGATATGGCGTGTGGAAGGCAAGGGTCACCCCCAGTGCTGTCCAGACTTCCCGGGTTAATGAGGCAGTGAAAGAAGTTCCTTGATCGCTTTCAATTACTTCTGGAACACCGTATCTGCAGACAATTTCTGTTAGAAGATGTTTAGCTGTTGTCCTGGCGGTAAGATTGGCCACCGGGAAAGCTTCCGGCCATCCTGACTAATGCATATTCATAGCGACCACTTTTTGGCATCTGGATGTGGTCAATCTGTATTCTCTGGAAAGGATATTGTGGTTTGGCCAAGTGGTTGGGTGCAGTCTTGACAACCTTTCCAGGGTTACATTTGGCACAAATTGCACAGGATTTACAATAATTCTGTGTCAAGGTAGTAATGCCTGGTGCTTCAAAGTATTTATCAATCAGAGAGTTCATCAGGTGCTTTGACAGGTGAGCTGGTCCATGAGCCCATTGGACAACCGCTGGATACATATTTTTGGGTAGACAGAATTTAAGATTAATGGTGTAAACATCATCTTGAAGAAGGGCTCCCCTGCTCTTCCAACTCTGTTTTTCCTGGGGAGTTGCAGCAGCTTGTTGTTCCTTCAGAAGTTTGAGATCTGTAGGCAGTGTTTGCATAGTATAGACAGGTACTGTTTCAATAGCCACTCTTCTGTCCACTTCCCACCCTTGTCGTGCTGCGTCCTTGGCAGCTTGATCAGCTAGATGATTGCCTCGTGCTTCTTCTGAGTTCAGTCTTCCATGGGCCTTCACTTTAAGCACTGCTACCTCTGCTGGCAGTATCAAGGCGTCCATTAGTTCTTTAATGGCTAGGCCATGTTTCACTGGGGTTCCAGCAGCTGTGAGGAATCCTCTGGTTTTCCAAATTAGGCCAAAATCATGTGCTACTCCCAAAGCATATCTTGAATCCGTATAGATATTAACACGGAGGCCCTCAGATAATTTGCAGGCCACTGTGAGAGCTATCAGTTCAGCTTCTTGTGCTGATTTGGTTAATGGAAGCGCAGCTGCTTGTAGTACTTGGTATTCTGTGGTAAATGCATATCCAGTGTGATACTGCCCTTGTTCATCAGCAAATCTAGAACCGTCTACAAACAATGTCTGGTCTGGATTGGGTAGGGCAACTTCATGTACGGTTGGTAAGTGGGTAGTTTCCATCTTCATTTGTTCAAAGCAATCATGAGGGGCCTCTGGATCCTGTTCCACAGGTGGGAGGTCTTCACAGATTTCTGTGTGGTGTCGAGGAAATCCTGTTGTGTTACAATTGATGATTCTTTTAGTGATTCCCGATGATTCAAGTTGTTCTTGGGTCATAGTGCTCCAGGATTTGGCCATTGGGCCAAGATCTTGCCATAGGGTATCAGAGAACTTGGTGAGAGATATATGTGGAACAGCCGTTTCCCAATGGCAGTAGAGGTGAGACACCCCTGCTGGAAGATGTACCAATAGGAGCATGTTGCATCTGGAGTCCCACAACAGGTCTGTCAATGTGATGTGAATTTCAATCAGTTGGAATAGTTCTTCTTCATAATCCACATCGGGGGCCCGGATTGTCCTTAAACCATAAGGTGCAATGTAACATGTTTTCTGATTGTTGATCATGAGGAATTGTAAAAGTGGGCAGTTGGAACTCCACTCGGGCATCTGGGTTGATGTCCAGGCTGTACCAGTGTTGTGCCACTCCCCCTTTGGGAAGTGGCAGAAGAGTGGCAGGATTTAGCGAGTAGCAACGTTGAAGAGTAATATTGTCTGGTAGCAACAACGAGGTTTGCAGCCTCAAATGACGTTGAGAGGAGAGATGTCGAGGTTGTGTTTGTTGGAGAATTGCAGAAATATCATGCGGAGCCAGGACGGTGAGAGAATGTCCAAGAACAAAGGCATTAGTCTTGTCCAGGAGTGCACTGGCAGCAAATACAGCTCTGAGACAGGAAGGGCTGCCTCTGGCAACAGGATCGAGCATGCATGAAAAATAACCAATAGGTCTTTGTCTGGAGCCATGTTGTTGAGTGAGAACTCCGGAAGCGTGGCCCAGTTTTTCAGACACAAATAGTTTAAAGGGCAACTGGTAGTTTGGTAAGCCCAGGGCGGGGGCAGATGCAATAGCTTTCTTCAGAGAAGTGAAACAATCAAGAGCATGTGGTGACAGTGAGAAAGGATCATGTTTCAAGACATCATATAGTGGCTGCATGAGCTGAGAGGCGTCTGGAATCCAGGATCTGCAATAAGTGATCAGGCCTAAGAAGGCATGGAGAGATTGGTGTGTAGAAGGGATAGGTAAATTCAGGATAGCTAGGATCCTATCCTTTGTGAAGTGACGGGTGCCATGGGAAAGGCAATGTCCCAAGAAGACCACTGAGGGCCGGCACCATTGGAGTTTCGATTTCGAGGCCTTGCAGCTTGCCTCAGCCAGGAAACAGAGGAGATCTTCTGAAACTCGTTCAGCAGTTTGGAGATCATCAGCGCAGAGAAGTAGATCATCAACATATTGGAGCAACACCACATCAGTGTGTGTCTTTTGCCAGGGTTCCAGGACCAGTGACATGGCGTGGGCAAACTGGGTAGGTGAATTCTGAGCTCCCTGGGGCATAACAGTCCATGTATATTGCTGGCCCTCATGAGTGAGAGCAAAGAGGTATTGGCAAGAGGAATCCAGGGGAACGCTGAAAAAGGCATTAGCAAGATCCACAACTGCGAAAATTGTGGCAGAGGGCGGAACCTGTGATAGTAATGTATGTGGGTTTGGAACAACAGCCGTGTCTTTGACAGTGACATCATTAACTGCACGTAGATCTTGAACCATACGATACTGTTCAGGCTAACCCTTTTCAGTCCTTTTCTTGACAGGAAATAATGGAGTGTTACATGGTGACACACACTTGACAAGAACCCCCTTGGCTAGGAGGCTTTCCACTTGTTTGGAGATTGCGGAAGCTTGAGCAGGTTTCAGCGGATACTGAGGTCTTCTGGGAGGGGTAACTCCGGGCAAGAGTGAAACCACAAAAGGAGGAACTTTGAGGCGGCCAATGTCATCATGGCCAGTAGACCAGAGCTTGATAGGGATCCTGTCCAGAGCACTGGGGGCATGAGGGACCCTTGATTCCCCTGCGGGAGATTTTAAATGTAACAGTAATGGGAGGGAGCAAAGTTCTGAAGTGTCCTTTCGTGATAAAGGTGTGTTTAGCTGAACTTGGCCATCTGCAGTAAAGGTAATGGATGCTTGAAGACGGGACAGAACATCAGCACCCAAGAGGTTAATGGGGCATGTAGAGGAAACAACAAACCGGGACAGAATGTCAGAACCCACATGGAGGAGCTTAGTGAGGGGATTACTTCGGGGAGTACCATCTACACCAACGCAAGAGACATCGATGTCAGACAAAAAGGAGCGATCAGGCAGGTCTTGCTCTCTGAGAACACTACGGGCTGCACCTGTGTCAACTAAGAAAGTAGTGGGGTGCCCCTCAACGGGAAGAACTACAGTAGCTAGGGGCCCTCCCTCATCCCCTGAAGACACTGCCATAACAGGGATGTCTGACACAGGCTTGCCGGTTACCTATTGCAATAAGTCTAAATGGGACTGATCTGGGCCGGTATAACGGCGTGCAGAGGTTGATGGTGGCGTGGGTCGTGAATTATGGTTTGGTCTTTGGTAGTCCTCCTCTATATCAGGAGCAGGAGCTGGGGGACTGGCCTCTGTAGGCAGTGGGGGAACCCGGGAGTACTCAGGAGGAGGAAAATAGGGGACTGGGGGATGCGAGGGGAACCTAGGGTAACCTGGTGGAGGATAACCATGGGCAGCAGAGGGAGGGCCAGGATACCAAGGGGGCGACGGTCTACTGTATCTAGGGAGCGGGCAGTCCCTACGGAAATGGCCAGGTTGATGACAATTATAGCAAGTCCTGGCAGCCGTGAATTGAGCATGGTTAGGGGTTGGTGCAGTTGGGAAAGTATGGAAACCGGAAACTGCTGGCACTGACCCTGTAGCTATGGTAGGAGCATTAAACATCATCGAGTTTGATCTTCTCTGTGTAGGTTGCACCACTGACTCTAACCCCTTAGCAACCAATAGAAGTGTGTATAGGGGAATGATGCGATACTCGGGGCGGGAAAGGATTAAACCCTTGCGAATGGATTCCCTTAAACCAGACACAAAAGCAGCAGACAGCATCTGAGTATGCGCTTTATTGTAGGTACTGAACCCTAGGTCAGAGAAGGTTTGTGTAAGGCGTGAATGATATTTCTCTACTGATTCAAGCTTTTCCTGAACAATGTCTGTAATACAAGTAGCCTGGTCTGCCAGTTTATCCTGTGCCCAGGCATGGAGCTGTTCACAGAATGTGATACCAGACTGAAAATCTGTATCTGTGGTGAGTGAAGCATCGGTAAAACTTTTCTCCATAATAGGCCAATAAGCATCACCTGCTTTGATTTCACATAAACTATAAAGATCCCGCCAAGCTGCGGAGTAGGTTTTACGAATTTGGGCCATTCTGCGGTAAAAGGGCATGGGTTGTTTCTCAGGATCAGGAAGAGAGGTGACAAGGGTGGCGGCCTGTGAGGGGTTAAAGGTGACATACATAGGAGGGGCCCCAGTAGCAGGAGTGGGAACATGGAGGTTACCCAGTGGTGGGGATGGGCCATTTTCATCAAGATCATCGTCGCATGGAGCGACATGATCGCCCTGGTGAGAGGCGGCACCCAGAGAAATCGGACCGGGAACAGCCGGGTTAATGGGAGTCTGAGGAGCAAGTGACGTGTTATGGGAACTGCCCAGCTGTGACGTTGTAGGGTGGTAACCTGAAGCCATGGGAGAAACGCCCACGGTATGGGGTTTGGCTGACGTAGCAGGTTCTTCAGAACCAACCACCATGAGGGGAAAGGCGTGGCTTGGGTTCGGAGCTGTCTGGGTGGGTGTAGGGGCCGGGTCAGAGGGGGTGACGTGAGACTGGGCGGGTGACTGGATCAATGTAGAAAGGGCAGAAAGGAGAGGAGACAACTCAGTGCGGAGAGAAGCTGGGAGAGAAGGTGGGTCCACAATAGGGGAGGATTCAGGGAGTGAAGGAGGAGGAGGAGGAGAAGGAAGAGGAGGGGACTCGAGGGCAGCGGAGAGGGCTGTGAGGAGGGAAGACACTAGGCTAGTAGAGGAACCGGAAACATTAGTAACAGGGTTAGGAAGGGAAACGGAAGGGGTCACTGTAGGGGCCGGGTCCAGGAGAGTGTCGGGAATGACGGGGATCGGGAGTTGCGGGGCGGGGTCGTGGTCAGACATAGGGAGGACAGAAGGTGGGACAACAGGAGTGGGAGGCGTCTGGGGGCGGGATGGCAGACAAGGAGGTGCCGAGGGAGGTACTAGAGACTGGGAGTGGGTTAGGTAACCGGGCTGGGGCGGGACTGGATCCGGGGAGGGGAACGGCTGTGGCAGGGGGGCATGAGGGAAGGAGTGCAATGGCAATGGATAGTAATAGGTTCCATCGGCTCCGAGCACGGGACACAAAGGGGTGGGACCATGTGTGACGCCACCGGGAGGTGACGTCTGTGCATGGACTGGGGAAGATGGGAGGGTACTGTTCAGCATGGTCTGAGCGCCATCATAGGGCGGTGGCCGGGGGTGGTCAGGAGAAACATTGGAATTACAATCATTTCGATGATACACATAAAGCGTTTGTCCCTCAAACTCAAGCTCTTCCTCTGTCCAACCCTCCCGCTTTAATCCCCTAGTAACTCGATACCAAGCCTCTACTGCTTTGGTTAACCCGTTATCAAACAACAACCCCTCCTTATCCACAAGCAACCTCCTCCAAAACTCAGGCTGCAATCTACCACCAGGTGGCAATTGGAATCCACAAACTTTAGAAATTTTCTTGATCTTTAACACTGCATCCTCCCCGGCTCTTTCTTTCACAATATCACAAGCTAGCAGTCCCTTAGCCGGTCTAGCATGTTCCTGCCCCATCTTGACCAAGCGTGGTCTACCAAGTAAAGGGGAGTGAGTAAGAGGGAAGAAAAAGTAAGAAAGTCTACAGTGCTCGACTGCCACGGGGGACCCGTGCGTCTTCCGTAGACTAGTCACGATGGTCTGTGAACCCGGGGTGGTGGCCACAGACCGGAGGGGGCGAGCGTGGGTGACTAACACAGCTCTGGGCAACAGAGACAGGACAGATACAGAATGAGGGAGAAAGTGAAAGTAGCAACACTAAGTACTAAACATTTGCAAAAGTCACAAACGTAAAAATGAGTGTACACTCCGGAGTCAAGAACAAACCATACAACACACACACAAACACAGAGGGTACCTGTAGTAGATTATTTTCTGCAAACCAATAAGTTTGAATGACTATTTGTTCCTGTCCAAATTAAAGATAATAAAGTTGCGTGCACGCAGAAGTAAATTCACACTGAGACACAGGGTTCAGGTTAATGAAAGAACTTTGGAAAAGTTTAATGGCTTCTAACAGATAATGGGTGCGCAGACCCTTATAAAGGCATTTTTACATCACTGAAGAATTCAAGATAACAGCAAATAAACATTATTAATTGGTCCAGGTGTTAAGTGGTTAGTTAGATGCCCTCCCATCAAGAGGTGGTGTCATCCTTGACACGGGAGTGGACACAAGATGTAGGCACCATCTTGTTAGCACGAGGTGTTCACTCGATGGGAGGGGTGCTTTGGCAGCCATTTTGAGTAGTTAGTATTGTTAGTTTCAAGGTTCTTTTAGTAAATACACATTTTATTATTCAGCACATTTCTTCCTGCCAAAGCATTAGCTTAGATAATTTCAAGAATTCTATAATTCTACAACAGTACCCACACTGTAACAACAATTGAACAAAATCCACAAAATAACAGAGAGCAATATGGCCATGTACATAATCAAACAATGTAATACAAATCAAATAACATTCCCAGCCCCTTATTCCAGGCTGTCAAAAAAAATTCCCCAACCCGATCTCACTGGTGGTCCCCAGCGCTGTCACAATTCCCCAACCCTTTACGAGGGTGGTCCCCAGCCTTTTACCGGCTGTCGCGTTCCCTGCCCGCTAGGCAGTCAAGCTAAATTTTTTAGAAGAAACACATACACCGGCCGTCACTCACACTCACATAAACACTCAGGAGGCAGATAGACAATCGACAGGTTCGTTAAAAAGAGCACCGGATAAGATGTTACCTGTCTAGTAGCCTTCTGGATGCCGGAAGGACGCGGAGACAGACCGACACAAAACAGGAGTATACAGACAACGGCTGTATGGTGGAGGTGATCAGGCTCCGGGTGTCCCACTTTCCGGAGGTTCGCTCCGGTCCGTTGGTTTCAGGCCCTCCGAGCCGGCAAATCCGGTGCCCCACGTTGGGCGCCAATTGAAATGGAAATCAACTCAATCGATTGATTATTCTTGTGTATCTGCCCCTGGCCAAATTAAAGAAACAATGCGTGCACGCTCCCTGAAGTAATTCACACCAGACACAAGTTTCAGGTAGTTGAATAACTTGAGGAATGTTTATTCAGAAGGGACGGCAAGACCTTTTAAAGCAAATTTACATCATAAGCATTGTCAGAGATAACATGGAATAATGCGGTATTAATTGGTTAGGTGTTAAGTAGTTATCTTAGTGCTCTGCCTACTAGAGGTGATGTCACTGAGACCATGAGCGTCTCCCCCAGATCTCAGCGCCATCTTGTTACACAAGGTAGTTAGTCAAGGTTATAAGAAGGGAGGGGTTAGAAACTTCTAGCGGCCATTTTGTCTAAATATGCGTGAATAGCTTATCTACTGATTTCAGTGCGATGGGCAAATAGACATTTTACTAACTACAAAGATATATGTGTATATGTCCATAGTTTATGTCCACAACAGCATGAACCCCCTTGTTCGGTAGATTGAACTCACCGAACGGGGAGTCGATTAGCCCCTCCGTTCGGTAGTTCTTGAGCTCTGGAGGTCTCAGCGGTGTTCGCGCAATTGAGTGTCCGATTTCAGTTCCAGACACTCGACGACCAAACACCGCTGAGAGTTCGTGCGTAAGATGGCCGCCGCCACCTGTTCGTACAGAATGGCGGCCACCCAGATACATCAATAAAACCTCAATTAGCTGCGGTTACAAAGGGAATAAAGGTTTAACGAGGGACACACTTCAGCTCTAAGGTGGTCTATGTATTCGGTAGTTTCCATTCGTATAACTAGGAAGGAAACTACTGAACAGACGAACTTACATGCAATTTGCAATATATATATTCAGTAAAACAGGCGAACAGTCTTTTTAAACATAATTCTGGCGGATAGTCACAGGCCATCCGCTACAGGTGTCAATGGCTACATGTCATATAATTAGTTCCCAGATATGAGTTCTTATTTATTGTGTCCTCAATCAGGATTAGTGTCAACGAGAGAGACTGATGGGGAAGAGACAGGGATGCAGGGGCGTACCTAGAGCATTTGGCACCTGGGGCGGGTCCTATTTTTGGCACCCCACCTTGCTCCCCCCCTCAACTTTAAATATAAAAACAACTAAAAAATGTTTTAATGTATTTAGCACTAAGCAGTGTTTGTGTTTTTGAATGTAGGCATGTTTTTGTATGGAGTATATGTGAGTGAATGTAGCAGTGTGTTTGTATGTAGTGTTGGCGTTTGAATCCAAGCATGCATTTGTGTGTTGTGTGGTATTTGAATGCAGTGGTATGGTTATATATAATGGTGGGGTTTGTATGTAGTGTTGACGTTGAAGTGCATGAGTGTATTTGTGTGTAGTGTTGGCGAGATTTTTAGATGTCTGCACATATACACATACACGGACATACACACACAAACACAGTCACACACAGATACACATTGACACACATGCAGACATCGTGGCGACTCTAGGAACAATATATATGGGGGGCACATAAGATACCACAGTCAAAACAGGAGGGGGAGGTGGAGCAGTAAAACTTCTCACTAGGGGATGGGGTAATATGCTGCCATTGGCTGTCTGATGCCAGCATGCTGTGTTCTGCATGCTGGCATCTGACTACACATTTGCATATAATTCACATTCTTGTTGTGGGCTGGCTGACACCTCTTAATTTCAATCTTTGTTTAGCAGATAACTCCTCTATTAGCTATCCTTTGTGGGATTGCCATATTTAAGGACACCAAATAAGGTGCTATCTGCTAAACAGCATCCTCATTTGGTATCTTTAAATATGGAAATCTTACATACGGGCACCAATTCAGGGAATGATCTACAAAAATGCTCTCTTCTTATTTTCAGTTGTTTAGTAGATAAATCCTTTATTTGTTATCCTTATGTGGGATTGCAGTATTTGAGGACAGGAAATAAGGGAGCTATCTACTAAACACATACGCAGAGATACACACAATCACACACATAATCACAGATATACACAAGCACAATCACTGACCCACAGACACAATCACATACACACACAAACATTACATACACACATTTAATAATTAAGAGGTCCACCCAGCCTCCCTACCTTGCTCTAGAAGGGCTGGAGTGGATCCTCAGTCCCTGGTGGTTAGTGGTTGCTGCTGGGATCTCTGTGCTCTTTCTGCACGGGTCCACCGCATACCCAGTAATGACGCCGAGGCTGCAATGACATCATATCCTGGCTGCCGGCTCACTGCAGGGCGAAGACCGTTAGACACAGTCAGATGCACACAGTCCCACACACAGTCACTCACACACAGTTACAGGCAGACAGTCAAATACACAGGCAATCACACAGGCAGACAGTCACACATACACAGATTCACAGACAGTCACACACACACAGTCACAGACAGTCACACACACAATCACAGACAGTCACACACACACACCCACAATCACAGGCAGTCACTCACACACACCCACAATCACAGGCAGTCACTCACACACACCCACAATCACAGGCAGACAGTCACACACACACCCACAATCATAGGCAGACAGTCACACACACAGCACACACTCTCTCCCTTACAGTAACCATGGGCTGGAGGAGGAGGGGATTCAGTCCCTCCTGTGATGTAGTTGGGGAAGCAGGGACTCCTTCCTGCTTCCCCTCTGTGTGCAGCAGTATGAGGCTGCATTTAGCTCCGCCCACACATCAGGCTTGGCTCCGCCCCCACGGCCGATCTGGCTCTGCCCCCAAATCTCCATGCAGCCAGGTCTCCTGCTGTATTCCCTGCCCCTGCGTGTGAGCTGTGTCGGCTGCCCCGCCCCTGCTGCTATGGCAACCAGTGCAGCCACACAGCTCACTGACTCCCAAGCCTGGCCAGCCCTGGTGGCACCCGGGGGACATCCGCCCCTGCGGGGATGTAGCTGAGCTTCCTGCACCCCGGTTGGGTACCTCTGCCGACGGATGCTCCTAGAGCTCCACCAGACACCATCAGCACCGCAGTCCCCACGTCCAGCGTTACAGCTTGGCTGGGAACTTGCCGTCCTCTACCCACCCTGGACCTACGACAAGGCTCCAGGTTCCAGTGGGTGACCCTCTCCTCCGAGCAGGTGTGGCGAACCTGGCCACTTCTGGACACTTAGGGTGACTATTTTGTTAACTGTTGCTATGCTCATTTTATATGCAGTGTGTAGCATTCGTCTGAATATTATATCAGTTATGGTTTTTTTTAATGTAAAACTGTATATTTTGCTGTACGGAGAGATAATGTGATTAACAGTACATTATTGCACAATTATCTCTCCTGTACAGCAAGGCATGCTGGGAAACAGCCGTGCAGGCTAAGTTCCCCACACAGTCCTCTGTAGTAAAACCCCTGCAATGTCATTCAGGAAACCCCTTGCATGGGGACTTGCATAAATACTGTGACCGTGGAATAAAATGACAGTTGGCTCCCAGACTATGTGTCGTCTAGTCCTTGGGGAAGAGGGATTATTATTACTCTGCCTGTGTCCTGACTACCAGCGGAGATACCGTGGATTATACTGCTACTCCGCTACAGGGTGCGAGAGACTGAGAGACAGGGTGAGAGAGAGACTGAGAGACAGGGTGAGAGACAGGGTGCGAGAGACTGAGAGACAGGGTGAGAGAGAGAGAGAGAGAGACTGAGAGACAGGGTGAGAGAGAGACTGAGAGACAGGGTGAGAGAGAGTCTGAGAGACAGGGTGAGAGAGAGTCTGAGAGACAGGGTGAGAGAGACTGAGAGACAGGGTGAGAGAGAGACTGAGAGACAGGGTGAGAGAGACTGAGAGACAGGGTGAGAGAGAGACTGAGAGACAGGGTGAGAGAGCGTCTGAGAGACAGGGTGAGAGAGAGAGACTGAGAGACAGGGTGAGAGAGAGAGACTGAGAGACAGGG